ATATCGTCTTTTATCTCACGTCACTGGTTCTGTGCCTCACCCGACTCGTTACGCGAACAGTCCGAAAAACACGCTCACTCGTACAAATAGTCAACTCGTTTGTTCTCGCCTTCTCTTTCTTGATCATTCTTTCCTGTTTTTTTTGTTCTTCGCTTTGGTTGCTTAAGCACTGTTCCCCTCTTGCATCGCCCTATTTTGTCAGATCAGAATAATCGATTCGTAAAGACAAAGTTGCGCCACATGCCAAAGCCTCGGCCGGTGCGTCTGAGTCAGTGTAACTTGTTTTATGCGTTGGGTAAACCTAAGGTATCACATTAGGTTATGATGGGTTCGCACAGGTACAAGGACTACCAATTTTATCTATCTCGATTAGCCACCCACACCAAAGTTCACTCATTCAATAAACTAATGGGGTTTACTGAGTTGCAAGATTTGAAAGTGTCTTATTTCCAGTCGAGTGGATTACTACTTCGTCTGCTTTCAAGCGGTTATCCACTGGGTACCGATGATGGTCACCAGCAATTCATTTTCACGTTCGTGAAAGGTTGTCTATTAAATGAGCTCTATGCGCTCCATGAAATACCAAGATACGGTACCACCCATCACGCAGATTTCAGTTTTTCAGGTGACTCATCACAAAATAGTGACTAGTTTAAGGGCATCACCATATCGCCATCTGCGAAAAAAGTTTTTTTATTTCAATGCTAGTGATGCTTCTCTTGATCGCGCCGCATCCTATATAAGGTGCCAAGATCAATGATTCGTTTCACTGCGTTGACAAACAGCTGAGCAGACAGTCAGAATACACACCTCTTCTAGTTGTCGGATCTGATTTCCGAGTTGCGGGAGGGTTTATCTGAAAACCAGTGGTTACATCAATTATTTCACTTCACATCGACTTGAGGACAAGTATAGTGCTAGCGCAACAAAAATAGCATTATAAAATGCGGGTTCAAGTGCGGATAAATGAAATGAGAATGGGAGAGAACAGGGAGTAGGAAGAACAAACGCGTCAAATTGGCTTGAAAAACTGACAGCAATGAGAGGACCCTCTGTCTACTCACAGTGGTGCAATGATTTAGTCGCTGCCGCCGGTGTGCTTTAAACTCTATGGTTCGAATCTCAACACTCAACTTTGGTGGTAGGTAACTTTATTGTCATCCGGTTTAATACCACGCCTAAATTGGCGGAGTCTTGTTTTGTGTGGTTCACCATTCGAAGTTCCGAAGCTTAGGTTACTGGCTTCCACTACTTAACAGCAGGTCTTCGCGACGGAGAGATCCACCCGGTCTTCTGTTCATCACAAGGTGTGTGTGTGTGTGTGTGTGTGTAAAAATTGCCAGCAACATATCCTGGTCGGCATCTATCCGATAGTGAATCAAATCCGATTCCATAGTGTTGCACCGGCCAGAACTGCTGAGGTATGTGAATGAGTCTTAAGGCCCGATGTGTGTGCCGGTCAAAACACCGAATTAACTCGCTCGACCGCCATCACCCTGATCATGAGGGAGAAATGAGGCGGGAGTTGCAGATTGGAATACCATGCTACGCGACCTGATCTGTGCGCTTGGGGCTGTTGTATTCAAAGAAAGAATGATTGGACGAAATTGTGGAATGGCGCACTTGAAAATAGAAATGCTATTGGTAGTATTACGAGAAATCACTATGATTGTCTCATTTTTGTGTGAATTTGTTATCCACCTTGCTCATGTGAACCGGCGATGATTATATTTTATTCGCGGTCTAATTGTGCGGTGACGTTGGAACTCATTGATCTTTCCACCATTTGAGGATACGGTTTTCCGCATTATCTGTCAAGAAAAAGCAGTTCGCACGTTGTATCAGTTGAGCTTCATAAGCTAGAATTGTTCAACTGTGTTGAAATCCCAGTATTGTGATTTGGTTGCACAAAGAGTTGATCGAAACCAGTCAGTCGAATACTGTTCAAAATGAACAGCATAGAATAGATGGAGAGAGAGGCTGCAGTTGATACTCATTGGAAGACCTGCGGAACTGGTTCGTGTATGTGAGTCAATGGAAATTGTTGGATTGCGATTTGTTTTTCCTAGGCGTTTTCTCTCTGATGTGTTAATCGGTATTCTACCTAATAGTTGCTCACTATGTCAGAAGGATATTTCGTTGAGCCTCAGCAATAATTATATGAACGCAAGAAGCCCTCATGTATGGGTGACCCAGTTTTGCCCGGATAGAACACATGAACCTGTATTGTTGTGGTTGAACTCCTTTGCTCTTCAAATCTGACCTTCATTCGATTTGAGATACGAATCGGAATCCTAAGTGACTCAGTTTCAGCCACGCATTGGATCATACACTCGCGCATCAACACCTAAGTACATGAGCTAGACAATGGGTTCACTTGACGACTTCGTTCTGTCTTACCCATGGGTTTAGAGTACCGAGTGTATGGGGGAAGCCGTTGTATTCCGACAGACAGTTGTTGGTATAATTGTCGTGTCTAAAATTGACGTGTGGCGGTCAGTGCATTGAGGAAGCTTCCCCGTACGGCTCGATTCTGTTGGCAAACAACAGTTGCACCCATATTGCTGTCAAAAATACAAACACAAAGCTGATGCAATGCGAAGAGAAAAACGAAAGACCTGAAAAGTCGATGAATATTATTCACCCCAAAGTTTCATCCGCAGCTCACTGGCAACTTTGTCTTGATCCATGGGAGCTACGTATTAGGTAATCACGAACTTTGAAGTATCGTAGCTCATGAATTTGGAAGGACACATGTCTTGTTTTATTGACAGTACTCAGAGTATGCGAAAACCAGTTGGTATTTCATTCTGAAGAGATATCAACGTGTCTGATAGTGTTCACTCAGCCAATTTTCAGTGGGATAAGACGAACGCGGGCGAGTGAATATGTAATCGAAAGACGATGAATTACGATCAAAGCTTGATTGAATGGAAAAGTAATGGGTCGTGGTCAAACTATCGGATAACGATGTCAAACCAAATTGATTAGCATAATGCAACACCGTCTGCATATTTTGTTAGTAGGTGGAATACCAAAAAGGTCCTTAATCTCATTAACAGACAAATAGGAATGTAAGACATCAAAGTTATTCATTC